CGTCCTTCTACGGTTTGGACCCTTATTAGCAGGACCACCATGTGGAGGCAGGATCCGGACACTCAGGCAGTCCCCTGCGTTCACAGCTCCTATGCCAGCAGGAGGCCCGAACCTGGCACTCTCTGCCACTACACTGATGGAAGTTGGAGCCCACATTCTCAGGCTCTCTGCTAGGATCTCAGTCTTAGCCTACTGAAGTCAGGTCTGCCCTGGGGCCTTGAGAGGGTCCTCACGAAATCCCAGGTAAGAGGATGGGTATGGTGGAATTGGGGGAAGCTCACCACTGGAGGCAGGATCCAGGTGCTCTCAGGAAGTCCCGTGTGTTCTCAGCCCCTATGCCAGAGGGAGGCCAGAACCCAGCACCCATACCTGGCACTATTAGGGCTAAGAACTCATGTCTAAGCAGATCATAAGCCAGGACAGAGTTGAGTAGTCCAACAATGGCTGCACCACACTGGAGAGGCTGAGAATCCGGTAGTCAATCAGTCCATGAGGCTGGATGTCCCAGTAATCCCAATCTAGCACTGAAGGTCTGATGAATTCCAAAAGATCTCCTAGTCTTCAGTCTACAGCAGCAAGATTAATTTACCAGTGAGAGAAGGCAAGCAGCAAAAAGCCCAGCCTACTTTCTTATACAATACAGGACCTCATGCCCAGGGGTGGCCCTGCCCACAGTGGGCTGGACCCTTATCACTCAACAATCAAGAAAATGCCCCACAGACATAGTCACAGGCCAATCCAATGGAGACAATTCCTCAACTGAGGTATCCTCTTAACAAGTGTGTCAAGTTGACAACTAAAGCCATCCAGCAAAATATACTTGTCTACTTCATAAAGGGTCTCACAACCAGTTTTGTGATAAACTTGACAATCTTGCATTTGGATAGGTTTGTGGAGACAAAGCTTCAGAATATCGCTTAGTCATATTAGGTATTCAGTAAATTCCTGCCATTTCTAGAGGAAACTAGTCATCCAGAACGTAGAGTTAGGTGGGTCAGTTCAAATTTGATGGTGTCAGGCATATTGCAGTAACTGCACAATCCAAATCCTGTACCAGAATCCATGTTATGTGTGCAGTGACTTCTCCCTTTGAAGAGGCAGCTTGGATCCCATGTGACCCTTAACAAACTTGCACTTACAGTTCTCAAAAACATGTCAGTCTGTGCCTTACATTTTTTCCCCCATTTTGAAGAATGGAAGGAATGAATGAAGCTCCTTTAGTTGCTGCTACAAGAAAGCTTCATGGCTCTCAGATGGGGTTTTGTCTGTTTAAAGTTTGTACATAAACTTGTTTATATCTTACAAGTATTCTGAAGAAAGTATTCGGAATTAACATGATAATATCATGGCAGAATTATAACCAGAGCAGTCAATGGTAGAGGTAGCAGACAATAGATGATAGTTCCATTTATTGACTGTACAGCTTAGGTAAGGCATGTTATTTTTATGAGGTTTGGTAGACAGTGGTTAGGATTGAATGAGATAATGCAGAAAAGGCTTTTCATTGAGGGCTTGCTGTTCTATAAATATTTTCAGATCACACCAAAATTTACTGTTCCATGTTGGTTAGCTAACATTAAAGTATATGGTGGGGGCTGGAGAGATGGCTCAGTGGTTAAGAGAACTGGCTGCTCTTGCGGAGGACCCTAGTTCAGTTCCCAGCGCCCACGTGGTATCTGCCACAACAGCCTGTAACTCCAGTTCCAAAGGATCCTATGCCCTCTTCTGGCCTCTGCAGGAATGGCATGCACAAGGTGCACACATACATGCAGGCAAAACATTCATACACATAAAAATAAGATTTAAAATAAGTTTATTGTGAGCTTGTGACATAGATAACACTGAAGTTTACCATCCATATAACATCACATCTCTAGTGATGAGCAAGCCTAAATTACTAGAGCTAGTCATAATTTTCATTTCTTAGAATTAGAAATTATTAATAATCATTACAAATGATTGCTTGAACCCTCAAAACGCATGTTACAAATGCACATACTCTATATACTGTCTTAGGACCCATGAAATTACTAAGACTGAAAATAGCTGTAGATGTCTAAGTAACCTGACTTATAGCTCCTCCAGCTTCTTTCTCTGACCAGAATATGCAGTGTTAACATTTTAGTTGATATACAGCTCTGTATTTTTTTTTTAATTAGAAGAAGCATTTCATTACAACAGCATTAACCTATTCAATAACATTTTTCTGAGCTAGGGTACATCTCTTTCAAATTTGGCTGTACATTTTTAGGTTTACAGATGAATTATTACGCTTATACAAGCTCTGTATTTTTTTAAGTATATTAATTGGTTCTCTTAGGGTTAGACAAAGTGTCAAAGTTTTTCTTAGATAAAAATGAGTTAAGGATAAAGCTACTTCTCTAAGACCAAGGACTGATAGTATAAGAACTTTGTACTAGTTTAAATACTATAGATTACATATATCAATATGTACATTAACAGTAATAATAGTTCTTGTGTTTTCTTCCCATACATTGGTAGTTTTGTACATCCTTGTGGTCTGTATACCCAGATTTGTAGTAACACCATACTAGAAAATTAGAACCTTTTAAAAACTTCCATGTTCTGAAAAGAACAATATAATTATTAAGATATCACTTTCCTCAGGTGAATACATCTTTGTCAGACAAAAGACAAGTAGAACAAAATTTCTTTTCCTTATGACCAGGATTTTTTTCTTTTAGTTTCATATCTGGCATGCTTAGGTGCCAACCTCTGTTACATTAATTGGTTTTTATAGCTTATCTTATCAAAAAGGTGTACACTGAATACTTGCTTTAAGGTTACAGGTAATTAGTTCTGTCAGTGGCACATCACTTACCTAATTAGGTTCAAGTCCCAGAACCACAAAAAGCAAAAATAAAACAAAGCCTTTAGCATATGTCTTTAATCCCAGCACTGAGGAGGCAGAGACAAGTGGATATCTGTGAGTTCAAGTCCAACCTGGTTTACACGGGAAGTTCCAGGCCAGCCAGAGCTACATAGTGAGACCCTGTCTCAAACACAGAGGAGGGGGGAGGGGGGGAGGGAGAGAGAGAGAGAGAGGAGAGAGATTGAGAACACTCTGAGGTTGTTTTCCAGGATACAGAGATGGCTCCTTGTTTAAGAATATAAATTGCTAACAAAGGATCCAAATACAGTTCCCAGCACCCAAATCCAACTCAAAAGCAACCACCTTTAAGTCCAGTTCCAGGGGACCTAGTGCCCTCTTCTGGACCCTAGAGATACTGTACTCATCTACACATACATACATATAATTTAAAAAAGAAAATGAAATTACAGGTAATAAAAAGTAGCCATGTTTGTAGCAAGAAAAATTCCATTTGCTATCTTGAAAAAAACCTTGAAATACCTGAGCACTCGAATCTAACAATAGCTAATATAATGGTTTTCAAAATCAGTATTTCTGATAGGAATAAAAGTAGTGTTTTAAATCTTTGTCATTTATTAAGCAATTAATTTAAATATATTCATGTTTATTAATCACATTTTAGTTTCTTCTTACTACATTTGATAACCAATAAGCACCTTGTAGTTTATTGTTTTGCCTTCTATCTGCTTATATAAAGTGAAACCATGTCATTTAGTACAAAACGGACTTTGCCTGGAGAGAAGACACTGAGGATGATAGTGGTGTTAAAACATGGTGTAACAGATTTGCCTTACTGAACAGCTGTAGTTGCAAGGAAGGAATGAGTCTGATTGTTGCCATTACCCAGTTCTATGAAGTCACTTACATCTGTATCCTCATTAATAGGAAGATTCAGAGGTACATAGTTGGAGGCTTAAGAGTGATGCAGTCCAATTGAACAAAGAGTCAAATGACTAAGTGTATACTGCTGAAGAGAGTACAAGTCTAAGAGTAGGCATTACCCACAGAAAAGACTAGCTACCTTTGGACTCAAGAGCTAGATTATCCAGGTAATTCATGATTTCTATTTTTGTTGAACAACTACTATGTATTCAGGATTACTTCATCTCCAGAACTAAGGGTGTCAGCCTCTTTTCTTTCATATCCAAAAGAGGTTATCAGTCATGAAACAATAGTGAAGAGCCAGGAAAAGTTCATAGAGTTTTACTAAGTACTAAAATATATTCCAAGATGTGAGATCTGGGTCAGGTCTTGAACAAATAGAAGGTTTGGTTAAGCACAGTAAAGGACAAAGTTCCCTAGGTGGAAACATGCAGGAACAGATGGGACTGAGCCATGGGTATGTGGAATAAGAACCAAAGGATTATGCATTTGCCAATAATATGGAAGAGATCTGACCAACCTAACTTAAATTCAAATAAATCATCAACTCCAAATATATTCAATGAAATAAGCAGCCTAAGTACCTGTGAGTGTCACACGTGTTCCTGTGTTAAGATAGCCACCAGATACTATGGGCATCTTAACAGTCTTCTGTCAAAATGGGACTGTTTTTTTTCTCCTACTGTCTACTTATCGGCCTCATTAGAGAATTAAGAGTGAGGAGAAAGAAAACTGTTATTTTACAGTTCCAAGCTAGTTCCAGTGTGACATCACTCATATTTGTTCTTAGCTCTCTGACGCTCACTTTATCACTGTAAATATAAAACCTTGCTTAGTTATGAAATTCAAGTAATTTCATGTGAATGTGCTTAGAACAGCAGGAATTCAGCAAATGTTAATGCTTTCTTGAAGTTGTTCTGATGCTGAAGGGGTGAAGCACAGTAGTACTTCAGCCAGTAAGTTAAATGTCTTCTGATGTATATTAATGTAATCCATATATGCAGTGATGTCTTTTGTCCTACGTATCTGAGTAAACGCCACTTGGTTTATACATGGCGTCATTCATCATATTCCCTTCACTCAGGTAGCATATAGAACTTGGACTGTTAGGATGATAAATGCTTTACTCAGTTTATAGTCCAAACAATATTACAAAATTTTATTTGACAGGTTGACAATTTGCTTGAAATTTGAACTAAAATGCATTATACTTTTTTTTAAACAGGGTGCTACAAATAAAAACTGATGAGAAAGTGGATTTGTCTGATGGGAATACAGCAAGCTGCCCTTTGAACCCCATTAAGATGTGCCTTAATCATCCTATTGAATGGAATCTGAATTTAACAGCAGCATCTCTAGCAAGCTGTACAGTTCATAACCAAAATCTCAAAAATGAAGAGAAATAGTTTGTAGTTCTTCTTGCACTTTTTTTTTTTTGTATGTCACTATTTTCTTCTGAAGGTCAGTTAATTCTGAAATATTTCTAGTCCTGTGATTTGTCTTTATATTATACCATTAGCGTTAATCATTTTGACTAAAGTCCTTCGCATGTTTTTTTTACATATTTTACATAAGACCATTGTAGAATTTTGCAGTACAAACAGATTTTGATGTTTCTCTTTTTAATGGTGAATTTTTTATACCCTAAGTTTAAATATTTAAATGTCTTCAGTTTTATTTCTGTGCAGTTTTAACATATAACACATTATGTAATTTAGAAGGCTAGTATTGTAAAGATGTGTGATAATGACCTAACCAATGAACAGTTGTGTAACAGGTGGATATTAACTACCTCGAAGCAAACTGGTAAAAGGCAAAGGCATCACTTGGAAGTATGTCTCTTGTAAAGTTATATATGTATAGAAAAAGATTGATCAGTTTATCAAGTAGCATGTTTTCATTCATAGAAATCTCAGTTGATCAGTTCTCTTTCTGTAATTTAAACCTCTCATCTGTGGGCCATAAGAGAAATGGCACAATTGCATGTTTACTCCTCAGCAAGTCTGTGCCTCACAGTAGACAAGAACACTGTTTTAAGTTAACAATTTTGAATGAAAAAAATGGTAACATCTGTTGGTTTTATTGTATTTTAGCAATCTACTTAAAAGCTTACCAGGATATGTCAAAGCAGGATTATATCCTTATTAATGCTAATAATGCAAAGCACACTTAAAATATGGCTATTGTATCTAAAATCTAAATATTAAGAATACTTAAGTTTTGGTGCTTACGATTTAGTTTTCCTATGTCAGAGAAAAGCAAGCTTTGGTATGGTGTTTATATAAAGATCATGGCTTCTTTCCTTTTTGATACTCTGGGCATGTATTAAATGGGATTTTAGTTTACTGATTCTAAAGACTTTTCCTTACAATATGTTGTATACCACTGTGGTCCTACTTATTTCTATTCCTTCCCCAATTTTTTTTGTAAATGGAAGGGATTTAACAAGCGCTATAATTCCTAAGAAATATGAAGCACAGGAAAGGATGGAGTCAAGCAGAATGAAGAACATACACTGGTTATATCATTACCTTATCTGCCATTTCCTTTTGCTTAAACCTACCATGCTCATGGATTAGAAGAATTAATATTGTGAAAATGACCATCCTACCAACTTCTATTCCTTCCCCAATTTTTTGTAAATGGAAGGGATTTAACAAGAGCTATAATTCCTAAGAAATATGAAGCACAGGAAAGGACGGAGTCAAGCAGAATGAAGAACATACACTGGTTATATCATTACCATATCTGCCATTTCCTTTTGCTTAAATAGAAATCTTGCTTCGTAACTTCGACTCCTTTTCTGAGTTCTGTAATGCACATACATATATGTATATAGTATAGCATTTTGGTTTTAAAACCCACAATTTTATCTTAGTGCCATCTCAGAACATTACCTGAAACAAATGACCTCTGGTAAATAAACCTAAAGAAGCACAATTAATAAGACAAATCCTAAGAAAGAAAAAAGGTCATTATCAGAGGAATAGTAAAAGGTATTACACTGGGATGGCAAAAAGAGGCTTACTTTCATACAGTGCACGTTTCAAAACATTTAAGTTTCATAATAGTGCCAATTACTTCAAAAGCTACCTGCAAGCGGCACTGAAGCAGTGGTCACAAATCAGCACATAAAGAGGACTTCCTATCACAATCATGTCCTGCTAATATTGTTTATTAGTCAAGGTAAATTGCATTTTGTTATAACAAAAACCAAAATGTACCTTCACAATTAATGTATACGTAGACATCTCCCTAATTCAGAAACATCTATAAAAGTGCTACCAGATGGAAAAACTTTAGGAAATTACCCATGCAGGTAATATCAAATAAATGGTCAGTATAGGAATCATAAAACCATCAAAGCCATGATTTAAGCTAAATGAGGAGTGCTTTGGTTTATTCTTCTGGTCCTCACTGGTAATAAGCTGCTTTCTCTATAACTACTTGTATGTATTTCATTTGCCCTTGAAAATGTCACTTATTAGATGTCTGCGACATTTCCACCTATATCTATTATATCCAATCTTTTGAAATGCAAACTTCTAGACTAGTTATACTCAAATCTTCCCAAGATGACATAGTTTCATAAAAATAATCTGGGGCATCTCTATAAAAGCAGGCTCCTGACCCACCTCACATTAGATCAAACAAATCTGAACCCATTCAGATAATCTTTGGATCACAATGACAGATGCTGTCCTAGAGTTTTAAAACAAGTCAAAGTCATGTGGCATCACTCAACAAAGTCTTCAGGAAGACATCAGGTATTTTCTGATTTTAATACAAAGGCAACTATTAAAGCAAAGAAGTAACTTTAAAGGATTCCATTTCCACCACCTCTCTTTAACTTAGGTCTTCACTGAGAAACTGTGTAAGGTTAAGTTTACTTTTTTCCACTGCTGCTATTTTGGCTCGTCTCGGTAATCTCATCTTCATTTCTGATTGTGGTTCTGGAACATCATGATCACTAAACAAATGTTGAAAATATACCAGTTTAGACATAATCTTTAAAACCACATTATTTATAAATAAAACTTTTTGGTTCTGACATTTTAATTGTGTAATTGATAACCTGATTCCATTAACTAAGTTTAAAACTAAAAAATAGCCGGGTGTGGTAGCGCATGCCTTTAATCCCAGCACTCGGGAGGCAGAGGTAGGCAGATCTTTGTGAGTTCAAGGCCAGCCTGGTCTACATAGTGAGTTCCAGGACAGCTGGTGCTACAGCAAGACACTGTCTCAAAAAGCCAAAAAAAAAAAAAAAAAAAAATTGAATGGTTGTGGTGACTCACACCTGTAATCCCAGCACTCAAGAGGCGGAAGCAGGCAGCTCTCCGTGAATCTGAGCTCAATATGGAGTATACAGTGAGTTCTAGGAAGCCAGGCCTTCATAGTAAGACCCTATCTCAAAAACAAAAATAAAAAAAAAAAAGGAATTTACAAAACACAATGAATGGCAACTATCTAGAGAAATGAATCATAGGAAACATAGCTCATTTTAAAAATATTGTATAAAACAGAGCTGGGCATGGTGGCACATGCCTTTAATCCCAGCACTGGAGAGACAGAGGCAGGTAGATCTCTATGAGTTTGAGGCCAGCCTGGTTTGTAATGAAGCTTTTAATTACATAAGGAGCACAGCAATTATCCTAAAGAAGGTTGTGAGAACAACTGAAAAAAGAAAATATTAAGTTCTTTTAATTTAGTTTATAGATTACTAAAACATTGTAAAATCTCCTCCACCAAAGCACTTAACCACTAAACTTAAGTTTAACCACAACTTAAAATTAAAAAATATACACAATACAATACCAATGATAAATGAATGCAAGATAGGTAGAAACTTTTCAGGTTCAACCATACCTTGACAATGACACAGGAAAAAAAAAACAAAGCTCTATTAAAAAAAAAACTAATGTATTAAAATTATAGGCAAAATTTTTCCATCATTATAAAGGTAAAGAATCTAAATGCTACCTAAATCAAATGTTTGCTAATTCAAGATGAAAAAAGTCTGTAATAAAAGGTCTGTAATAAAAAAAAAATGGAAACTGAGAGCACATGTTAAAATTACCTAATACTAATAAGCAGAAGTACAGAAGCTTTTCTAAGAAGTCAAACATTCTTGATATGAATTCTAGACTATTATCAGAGTCATACCTATTTATAGATTTTACTATCTTATGATACACTGAGTTTCTCTTGAAGAGGAAAATTAGAATTTTCTACTTCTGAATAAAATAAAAAAGGCTTCTTCTATATAGTGTAGACACACAGGGCATACCTTTCTGAGTCAGCCTCAGTCTGACGTCTCCTATTGGTCCTAGATGAAGCGGTCATTTTTCTTCGTCCTTAAAGACAGTATAAATTATTATCAAATAATTTATTAACTCATTTATTAACTGCTTCATGTTTCTAAATCTAGTCTCCAGGCCATCTAAATCCTTTATTTTCAGTATAACAATATTCTTTAACATGTTTCCGTATTTCAAGTCACCTTGATACCAAACCATCAATACACCATAGAGGAAAAAAAAAAAAAGAATTATAATTTATATGAATTTCTTTGGATAAGACTGATAATAAACGAGTTACAAAGAGGCAAACTTTAATTCACTGTTTGTTGAGGGGGAAAGCATATGAAAAACATTTCAGGCTGGGATGATAGTTCAGCAGGTAAAGTGGTTCTTTTCCAAGCACCAAGGATCTGAATTTGAACCCCAGAACACATATAAAAAAGTCAGGCATGGTGGTACTTATATCCCCAGCATCAAGGAGGTAAAGAAGGGCCGATCCTGGAGACCCCGATCCTGGAGACCCCTCTCTAGCTAGCCTAGCCAATTTGGTGAGTTCCAGGTCAGTGAGACTCTTGTCTCAAAAACAGGTAGACTATGACTAAACAGCAATACCCCCAAGACTGTCCTCTGCCCTCCACGTGAATGTGCACACCCTTGTATACATACTTATGCATACATGAACCCTGCACACACAATTTTCTAACAGCAGTAGCACAGCGTATATGGAAAAACCAATTAAAAGGCAACTTAGGTCAATAAACAGTTCCATAATGGAGCATATATATACACATATGTATTTTATACATAACATATATGTGTTTTTTATATATGTTTTTGTTTTTAAACAGATTTTCAGTATGTCGCCTAGCTAGACTAGCCTCAAACTCATGGGCTCAAACTATTCTCCAGCAGTCTTTGGAATAGCTACAATTACACTCTTGCATAACTAAAACCTGGCATCAAATAAAATACAGCAAGATAATGAATGCCTTCTTATAAAATATTTAAACTTATACACAGAAAATTCAATGTGTTCTTAAATATAATTCAACGTTAACGTTAATAAAGGAAATGAACCTTTACATATGAGGGTTATTTGCTAGATATTTTACAAGATTAAGAGGTGAGGTCTGAGGGCTGGAGAGATGGCTCAGCGGTTAAGTGTACTGACTGCTCTACCAGAGGACCCAGGGGGTTCAATTCCCAGCACCCACATGGCGGCTACGAACCATCCTTAACTCCAGTTCCAGGGGAATCCAATGTCCTCTTCTGACCTCCATGGCATTGCATGACACGGGTGCACTCACATACATGCAGGCAATACACTCATACACATAAAATAATGAGATGGCTCAGTGGTTAAGAGCACTGACTGGTCTTGCAGAGGACCTGGGTTCAAATCCCAGTACCCACATGGCGGCTACAAATGGTCCTTAACTCCAGTTCCAGGGGAATCCAAAGCCCTCTTCTGACCTCCACGGCATTGCACAACACGGGTGCACTCACGTATGCGGCAGGCAATACACTCATACACATAAAAAAAATAAGTTTATAAAAATTAAAAAAAAAAAAGAAGTGAGGGTCTGGGGAATGCAGCTCATTTGGTAGAGTGCTTGCCTATGTACAAAGTCCTGATTCAGTCCTCAGCACCATGTAAAATAAAGCATGGTAGTTTATGCCTGCAATCCCATCCTTTAATCAAAAGCTCAAGGTCATGCTCAGCTACATAGTGAGTTTGAGGATAGACTAGGATACATGAGACACTGTTCTACAAAAAAAAAAGACAGATGAAATTTGGCCTGTGATATTCCTCATTTATAAGAATAAAATGTAGCATGAATACATTGAGCTTGGACTATTAAAAAAAGATAGAGTTCTCATAGTTTATTTTATAACTAAGATTAATCTGATCAAAACCAATTGTCTGACACTTGAAAACTGTATACCCTATTGACTTTCATATATTTTTACTCATTATTTGTTTGCTTTCACTAAAGCATGTCTCCCTCCAAAGACATCCAAGAACGTGGAACTAATTTGGAACAATATTCAGTAATTGATATTTAAATAACTAGTTTGTTATGAAACAATATTATGGCAAAATTCCATTCTAGAAAGAATTAAATATACTTGAAAGAGCCATAAAAGTATTTTTCAAAGATTAAAATCATGGTTGGTTCATGGGTGGTACTATTTTCTTTATGGTAGGTCTGCTTAGATGTACGTTCTTATTCTTCTGTAGTAAGCATGCATTGCTTTTGTAATAATAAAACAATAAAAAGTTCTTGAATTTCAGATGTTTACTACTAGGGGATCATTTGGACAAACATTTATTTATTCCAACAAATCCTCTATTATTGGATACCCACTGGGAATTAAGATAGAAAATAAAAATGAAATTAGGGAAAGGAGATGAAAAAGAAAACAAAAACAAAAAGAAATTCTACGAGAAATGCTCAGTAATACAGAGGAAAAAACAATAATATAAAACTATTCTTTAAGCCGAGCATGGTGGCACACACCTTTAATCCCAGCACTCCGGAGGCAGAGGAAGGTGGATCTCAGTGAGTTCAGTGTTAGCCTGGTCTACACAGTCCAGGCCAGCTGAGGCTACAGGGAGACCCTGTCTCAAAAAGACCAAAAAAAAAATAAAAATAAAATAAAATAAAATAAAATAAATAAATAAAATAAGACTATCATTTAACCTATTCTTAATTTTACCCAAATAGTCCTTTCTGTGACCTTCTATATATTTTTCATTTAGTCAAAAGCATTTGATGCATTTGATGATTTATTTTATAAATCTTTAGGCAAACAGCAAAAATTCCCATCAACTGTAAGAATGAAAAAAGAAGATACCTAAGAACTTTACAACTTTTTATTCCTAAGGAAAGAAAAGGTAAAGAAACTTGCAAAGTTACTATTTTTACATGAAAACAGCTGTACTACATGATCCAGTCAATTCATGCATTACCTCTGTTGGTCTTCTGCTGTGTGGATTTCGATGCTTGAGTTCCTTTTACATCCCTCAGAGGTGTCATATAGACTTCTTTATTCTTTTCTACCAATGGGAATCACACAGAAATGCAAAGAAAAGATAAGTCTTTTGATTATTTGTTTTAAATATTTATTATTTTAATTTCATGTGTATAAGTGTATTGCTTGTGTGTAGGTAGGTATACTCATGTTATGCAATGCCCATGGAGGTCAGAAGAGGGTGTCGGATCCCTTGGAACTGGAGTCATATACAGGTGGTTCTTAGCTGTCGTGTGGGCACTGGGAATTGAACCTGGGTCCTCTGCAAGAGCAGCCAGTACTCTTAACCACTTAACCACCTCTCCAGCCCCATAGTTTTGTTTTTAAGTAAGATTAAAGATGATCATATATCATAAAACAAGCTGCTAATAGTCCTATTAGCAGCTACTGAACCGTCCAAAAAATATGAATACCACAAAATGAAACTCCTGGCATGTTGGTTAATGAGAAATGTACTCAATCATATTGAAAGGTATAATAAACACATCATTAACACACTTTCTTGAGAGGATTAATAAAAGGATTTTCATTTCTGAAATTCAACCAACCAGACAAACAAACAAACAAAAAACCTAAGTAAAGATGAAAAATATAATTTTGTAAATATTCAGGTCAGTTACATGATTACCATCTTCATTTTGAAGAACAGCTGTAGTTGTGCTGACATCTTGTGCTACTAGAGCTTGGTCAAATTCTTTACTTCCTTTTCGTAACTGAATCGTGATTTTTTCCAATGCTCTCAGACATGTCCTATCTTTTACTTGCTATGAAAAAAAAGAAAAGGGAAAGAAACTTTTCAAATACATTTTCTAAGCTTTCAAGGTTAAATGCCAATATCAAGTTCTTAAAAAATATAGCTGGGCATGGTGGCGCACGCCTTTAATCCCAGCACTTGGAAGGCAGAGGCAGGCAGATCTCTGTTGAGTTCAAGGCCAGTCTGGTCTACATAGTGAGTTCCAGGAGAGCTGGGGCTACAGGGAGACCCTGTCTCAAAAAGAACCCCCTCAAAAAAAATTATATGAAATTCATGAAGGAAATCGCTATCTCAAATGAATAGTCAGAATATACTAATAACTGTTGCCATTTAATACAAACACCTAAATTCCACTTTGATAAATATGAACACAAGCTAGTCAAAGAGTGATTAAGAATGACTTACCTCCAGAATCTCATCCAGTAGAACCAGAAGATCCTTTGTAATATTGCTACTGAGTTCTAAAGAACTCAAAGCTTTTGTATAAACCCGAATTTCTGGTGAGCATGGACTTGTTAAGATCTCATTACAAATTTTTATAGCTAAGTTATCATGTACGGTTAAGGCCTAGAAAATGAAAAAGAGAAACCCTTGTAAAATTCAAATGTCAATACAATATAGTTCTATACATAAACCAAAACATTTCTAGCTGTCTTGTTAAAAATCTCAAATGCAAAACGTCGAAAACTAAGTTTAACTCCTCTCTACCTCCAAAACTGAAGGATCTCCCAGTTGCATATTTTGGAGGATGGAAGTTCCCAGCTGATAAAATGATCCAGACTGATGAAGTGGGCCTTGTCCAAACTCACAGTACTCTGCCCTAGGGGTCAGTCCACATCCAGTGACTAGCCAACCAATGCAGAAGTACCTCAGTGCAGCTTGCTTCAGTTATGAGCAACTCCAAGGCCCATCAATTGTCTGTGGGATCAGATGAAGCTCCTACTTTCATGGTAATTCAGTGTGGCTTATGCTCCAGCTTACTCTGCTCACTCAAAACTTCTGTGACGTCTTCTGTTATTCATACTTAAAACTGTAGACTTTTCTTGGATTCCTTGATCTCTTGCCCCAAGCTCTTTCTCCAACTCTTCTTGTCAGTTCACCTCATATAACCACCAATGACCATTAAATGAATCTTTTTAATAAGTAGATTTCATCCTATTAACCCTTTAATCTTAAGGTGTATATACACAACTGCACACAGAGCCAACTCCAAATTTCCAACCTTAGTCTTTAAAATGAATAATCATCTATATTCATTATCTTTACACATACATCTTTCCTTTCTACTTAGATCACTTCTCAAATCCCAAGTAGGCCCAAGTGAATTCTACTCAAATGAGTTTTAAAACTAATGAAGCAGCCAGTCTGATGGTACACACCTGTAATCTTAGTTACTTGGGTGACTGAGGCAGGAGAACTGCAAATTCAAGGCCTACCTGGACTAGGAGGTAAGTTCAAGACCAGCATAGGCATCTTAGTAAGATCCTGTCTCAAAATAATAGTAAAATGAGGACTGGGTATTATAGCTCAATTGGTAGAACACTTGCCCTACATGTGTGTGGACCTAGGTTTAATCCCAGTATTGCAAAAATAAAACTACTCATGCTATACTCATTCCTTTCATGAATTTTATCCTTCTCTAAAGTCCCAAAGCACTGGATAGCTCACTGCTCCTTAACATATTTTGCCTAATATCCTTTGTAATTCTCTTCCCAATAGTGTGTCATACTGTGACTTGAGCAGAGTATATAGTCACTAAATACCAAATGAATATGTAAACAGAAGAACAATACTTTCAGTTGGCATCTGCAATCATTAAGACATCAGATCTCTTAAGTGTTCAACCAAATGTCATTAAAGGATTTTAAAACTCAGTTTGAATTTGTGGATTCATTTGCATTTGACTAATATTCATCAGCATATAAGCCAAAATAAGCTTGAGGTGAGTCTTGCCTTTGAACTGTCCTTCTCTGTATTAGCAGCATTAAGAAGTAAGCCAAAATTTACATTGCAGACTTAAGTCCTAAATGACACGGATCATTATTTTTAATGTTACCAGCTAATACAAGGTGGAGAGAAGAGTGCTGTGAACAATGCATTTTTAGTAACTTCTAGATAGCAAAATGGTTTCTCCAATTTCCCAAAAGATGTTTTTTGACACTTGTTATACTACAATATAGACAAAAGTCTCAAAATGAAAATGTAGCTCCTCATGATTTCAAATGAGATGGATTCTTTAACCAAAGCGACAGTGAGCTGCCCACAGGCCACCCATATACACACCTGATAATCTTGGGAATTCTTATCCTGAGGCTTTAATCCACTTGGTCTTGTCAGATCAACAAGCAACTCAGCAACATTTGTGATATCTACTTCAGCTAAAGGAGATGATGCAGGGGCATTAGCCAGTGTTTGCAGAGTTGGAATAAAGGCTTCTTCAAAGCATTCCTGATTAGTCCTATTGAAAAACAATGTGAACCTTCAGTGACATTCAAAAAGGCCAGGGATGTCTGACTGCAGAGGATCAGATCCTACTGACCTCTTTAGCTCTACCTTCAAGCTTCTGAATAAAATTTGACCAAAAAGAGGGGAAAAAAAAAAGAACAATCAGAAAACACAACTTGCAAGTATAGTGGCAAAGCATTATCTGAGGAGAAATGCTTAATTCTAAAGAATGTATATACAACTTCTCCATTTAAGATGAGGTACATTTTCAGGCAGAGATAAGAAATGTGGATAAATAAAATTTATTATATTCTTATTCATCCACTGAAATAAAGCATATCAACAACAGAATGATAAAGATTTAATTCAGGTGTCTGAGTTAGGGAGAGGCTGTTAAATCTGACTTCAAGTAAGATTTTGATTCAGTGACTCAGTACCTGCTTGCATAAGCAAATATGGGGAAAAACACGCCTAGACAATGTCGAAGTCGAACATCCTCTTCAGTCACAGGGTTGTACCATAACAAAACCAGACGAGAAAGAATCCTGCTGCTGACCAAGAGCCCAGAGAACATCAGCTTGGCTAGTCCTTCTGCAGCTCCTGTCCTGAGTTCAGACACCTAGAAAAATGACATTCATCACAGAAAATTTTTTTACCATTATTTTCTTTCAAAGCTTCCATGTGATATATTTTTTTAATTTATTATTTTTATTTTATGTGTATGCATGTATTGCCTGCATGTAGATAAGTGCACCCATGTCGTGCAATGCCCACAGAAGAAAGAAGAGGCTGTTGGATCCCCTAGAACTGGAGTTACGTCCAGACAGTTGTTAGCTGCCATGTGGGTGCTGGGATTTGAACCTGGGTCTTCTGCAAGAACAACCAGTGTTCTTAACCAATGAACCATCTCTCCAGCCCCTCATGTGATATTTTTTAAAATTTATTTATTTTATGAGTGTATTGCCTGCGTATATAAGTGCACCCGTGTTGTGCAGTACCCATGGAGGACAGAAGAGGGCATCAAACCCCCTGGAACTGGAGTTAGCTATGGTTGTTAGCCACCATGTGGGTGCTAGGATTTGAACCTCGGTCTTCTTCAAGGACAGCCAGTGTTCTTTACCGATGAGCCATTTCTCTAGTCCCCATGTGATATTTTTAAATAACTATCAAAAATTATTCAAGTTATGAATTACTGAAAGCAGAAGGATCACTACAGGCTTGAGGCCAACCTGGACTACTATACAGTTTTAGAGAAGCCTGGGCTACAGAGACTTTCTCAAAAAAAAAATAAATAAATAAATAAAACAATTACAGTGAATAGTGTTCAGAGGAAAAATTGATAGTAAATATATACTTTAAAAAGAAAAATCTCAAATCAAGCTGAGTGTGGTGGTGTATACCTTTAATACTTGCACTTGGGAGGCAGGGGTGGGCTGATCTCTGTGAGATCAAGGCCAGTGTGGCCTACATAGCAAGTTCCAGGTCAGCTATGACTACAGGGAGACCCTGTCTCATAAAATAGTAGTCCAGATCTGCCTCAAAAAAATAAATTTTTAAAAAATCTCAAATCAATAAATTTACACCCTAATGAACAAGAAAAGCACTCCATGTTCAAGGATTGAAAACTTAACTTTGTTCTGAAGGCAGTATTAGTCAATGCAATGCCTAAAAACTTTCAGTGAATCTTTTTGTAGAAATGGAAAAGCCAATCCTCAAAGGAATATGGAACTAAAAGGAATCTTGAATAGCCAAAACAGCAATAAAAGTGAAGAATGAACTCAAGCTTCTTCATTTCACCTCCTGGGCATGGAAACACAAGCCAGTAGTCCTAGGACTTGGGGAGGCTGACTCAGAAAGGTTCTGAGGTCCAGGTTTGTATAGGCTATCTAAGGAGTCCAAGGCCAGTCTGAACTACATAGTAAGATACTGTTTCAAAAATTTTTAAAAATCAATAAAATAAGCTACACCCCAGAAATCAGAGAGGAACTGGCATAAGGACAGATGAAGGGATCATTGGAAGAGAGCTGAGAATTCATCTATAACTAATCCCCAACAAGCATTCCAAAATAGTTCGAGCTGAGAATTCATCTATAACTAATCCCCAACAAGCGTTCCAAAATAGTTCTTCAGCCATTGTCACTTGGACAATTCCAACAGGCTGAACAGTGAAACTACTTTTACCTCACAACATTTACAAATATTAACTGAAAATGCATCAATAAGCCAGGAGTGGTGGCACTCACCTTTAGTCCCAGCACTGGGGAGGCAGAAGCAGGCAGATCTCTGTAAGTTCAAGGCCAGCCTGGTCTACAGTGAGTTCCAGGCCAGCTCAGGCTAGAGGGGAGACCCTATCTCAAAAAGACCAAAAAAGACCAAAAAAAAAAGAAATCAATAGCCTAAATATAAAAACTAAAGCCATAAATTCTCATGATTTGGACTGTGGCCTAATATTCTTAGATACAACATCAAGAACACTTGGGAAACACAGATTAGATTCCATAATCCTTTAAAAAAAAAAAAAAGACAGTAACAGAGGACATGAAGTTGAGGGGATAATAAACAACGTATGGGAGAAGATGGGGGAGAAAGCCTGAATATGATCAAAAATTTTCAAAACTTTTTTAAAAACACAACAAAAGGACTGGAGAGATAGGTCAGTGGTTAAGAGCTCTTGCAGAGGACCTGGGTTCAAATCCCAGCACCCACATGGCAGCTAATAACTGTCCATAACTCCAGTTCCAGGGGATCTGATGCCCTCTCTTCTGACCTCCATGAGCACTGCAAGACACGAGTGCACCTACCAAGATGCAGGCAATGCACTCATACATATAAAATAAAAATAATAAAAAAGTATTTTGCAGGATGTGGTGGTGCATACATTTAACCCTAGCACTCGGGAGGCAGTGGCAGGCAGCAGATCTCTTGAGTTCAAGTCCAACCTGGTCTCAAAAAGACCAAAAAAACCCAACAGTATTTAAAAAAAAACACAACAAAAAGTTTCATCACAATTTTGAAACATTTCATGTCTAGAGAAATTATCAAAAAGGTAAAAGAGACAATCTATAGCATAGAAATATTTGCAAACTATGTGTCTCTATTATATAAAGAACTCTGGAAGACACTCCCCCCCCCAAAAAAAAGGGCTTAAAAACAGACTTATACCTTGAAAAGACAGTTTTCCAAAAAGATAAATGACCAGGCAGGTAAAGATACTCAGCATCATCAGTCATTAGAGAAACTCAAATGAATCACAATGAGGTACAATTTCATAAATAGTACAATTGCTATTTTTTTTTAATGTAAGGTAAGTGTTGACAAGGATGTAGAGAAACCGAAAGAATTAAGGAGGAAATATATAATGGTTTGGATGCTCTAGGAAACCGTTTGGCAGGTCCTCAAAATGGTCCAGCAGTCCACCTACAAAGAACTGAAAAGTACTTAAGAAATGCATGTCTATGTATGTTCACAGCAGTACTGCTCACAAGAGCCAGGAACAGAGCTCAACTGTCCTTCAAAAGATAAATGAACGAATTGTGGTATATACATAAAAATGGAATAATATTCAGCTACAAAAAGGAATGAGGTATTGATGCAAGCAAGCTACAATGTAGATAATAAATGAAGCCAAAACAACACAAAAGATGATATATTGTATGGTTGCATTTATCTACAATGTTCAGAATAGTAAAATTCACAGAAACAGAGGGTATGCATCCAGTGGCTGGTGAGAAGGGGAATAAAGAGCAACTGGGTAGTTTTTATCTGGAATGATGAAATTGTTTTTAAACTTTGAGAAAGTATCTACACTCTACTGTGAACATACTCAATACCAATTAATTATTCACTTTAAATTGTTAGTTTTATTAAGTCAACTCCATCACAATGAAAAGATACAATTATTATAAAACTTTTAAAATAGTTAAAGGTCTATATAATGCTGCAAAAATGTAGTTCCAGGGACCCCTAAGGAAAATTATTTAAGCTCATTCATGTTAAATCTTTTGCCTTTTACTCAATATAAAATTAAACTATTATTTAAAATTCTTGGGGGCAAAACATAAAGCCAAATCCAAAATCATCTTACAGAGTAAAAGATGAAAAATTAATAAAATCCCTTTATTAGTCCTTTGTTTATATTTCAATTCTTTGCATGCCAATTTGATAGTGAAAAACTGAATGATGTGAAAGTTAAAACATTTTAAAAAGCAAATAAAATTGTGTCAAGGTTTAAGTACAAAAATTAAATATAAACAAAAACTATAAAAAACATATGCTGCAAATGATGTCCTATAATCACAGGGCTGAATTATTTCTTACCTCACTGTCTAAGAAATCAGAAAGGAGTTTCAGGACATTCTTAACTGTATCAGTGTCCTCATCTTTTGCTTCTTGTTCATCATCGTCACTTATTTCTATGCCTTCACACTGAATGGCCTTAACTTTTTTAGTTTTAAATGGTTCAATTCCAAATGTCATCAGTTGATCAAAGATTGCCATTAAAGCACTTAATTTTATTGTGACATCATCAATTTGCAAAACCTATAATGAAACAAGCCCCACCAAAAAAAGTTCAGTAAAACAATCAATTCGTAAATAAAATCAGTAAATATCTTTTTTATTAAATTTCAATAAGTGTTAGTGCATAGAAAACAACACTTTTTAGATGTATAATTAAAATTTCAATTAAAAAAAAGATATACATTTATTTTTTATCAGTCTTAGTCCTTAATTTAATCCTGGAATTAGAAAAAAAAAAATCCTAGAGTCAAAGTCTGGCTGAATTATATTGTTTGTTCCTTTTATTACAAAAATAGAAAAAAACCCTTCAACTATGGTCAAGTTTGATCATTTTTCCAAGATCCAGAAAAACCGTCTAGTTACACTGAAATCTTTTTTGCTACTTATAAAGAAAATACTGTAGATTAAAGTGAATGAGAAGATTTGTTATATCAGTACTCTCAAGTTTCAATGAAGATAAATTTTTTACTCTCTTAGCTTATTAAATTCAGCTGCAAACTAGACTCTGCTATAGAGGTGAACCATAAAAAATCCAGCAGTTTGGGGGTTAGAGAAATGGCTCAGTTGGTAAAGTGCCCACCACACATAACCATTAGGATCCAAGTTCAGATCCTACCCGTATAAGAAGTAGGATACACGGCTGTGCATGCACTAGAAGGAACTTGTTGGACAACCAACTCAGCCAAATCAATCGAGGAGCTCCAGGTTCAGTGAAAGGCCCTTGTCTCAAAAGAAGTGGGGGCAGGAGGGGACTGGAGAGATGGATCAGAGGTTAAGAGCACTGGCTGCCCTTGCAGAGGACCTGGGTTTGGTTCCTAGCACCCACATGGCTAACAATAATCCAGAACTCTAGCTCTAGGGGATTCAATGTCCTCTTATGGCCTCCATGGGCATGGTGCACTTAACATACATGAAAGCAAAACTCATATACATAAAAAAAATCTATCAAAAAAAATTTTAAGGACAGACATTGATGAAGATAACATCAACTTCTGCACATGCACAAACATAAGAAGATTAAGTCTATCTTGAGTTAAAAAATACGAAATTCCAAAATCATGGGAAGAAAAGCTCAATATTTCTATCATGAAAGATTAACCATTATTGGGGCTGGAGAGATGACTCAGTGGTTAAGAGCACAGGTTGTTCTTGCATAAGACCCACGTTCAAATCCCAGCATCCACATGACGGCTAAAACCGTCTGTAACTCCAGTTCCACAGGATCCAACACCCTCTTCTGCCTCCATGAGTATTGCACAACATGGGTACACTTACACATATGCAGGCATAATACCCACAAACATTTAAAAAAAAAAAAAAGACTAACCATTATTATTCAAAGTAGCTTTTCCTTTAAAAATAAACAAGTGCCGGAGAGATGGCTCAGTGGTTAAGAGCACTTGCAGTTCTGGCAGAGACCCAGGTTTGGTTCTCAGCACCCACATGATGCCTCACAACTGTCTATAACTCCAGTTCCATGGGACCTGAATGCCCTCTTCTGGCCTCTATGGGTACCAGGCATGCACATGGAGCGCATACATACATGCAAGCAAATACTCATACACATAAAAATTAAAAATATGGTTTGGATAGATGGTTCAGCGGTTAAGAGCACTTGCTGCTCTTGTAGAGACACACATACATACACACGAATAGACATAAAAAGAAAATAAAATGTTAAAGAAACCTGTATGTCTACAAGATTCATTCATTTCACTTTCCTCTGGTCTGAGCCCAAATACTGACGTATGACCAAGACCTTCATCAACCAACAGTCCCTCTGTTCCCTTCCTCATATTCCTGATGCCCTGCTCTATTTTTATCTCATATACTACTTATTTTTCACTGTGTGTTTCTCCTTCAGGAATTGTAAGCTCCAGCCACACAAACTTAAGTTGATTTTCTTCATCACTTACCTACTCTGTTTTCCAAAGCATAGAACAGTGCTAGCACATAATATGCACCTATACCAGATATATGATTAATCATAAATTGTTATTTCATTTTTCCTACTAAGATACCTTGGTAAGAAATCAAGATACGGTGGTTAGAGAGATGGCTCAGAAGATTAAGAGCACTGGCTGCTCTTGCAGAAGACCTGGGTTCAGTTCCCAGCAGCCACATGGTGGCTAACAACTGTTAACTTGGATTCTAGTGGCTCTAACGTCCTCTTCTGGCCTCTGTTGGCACTGCATGCATGTGGTGTATTTACAAACATGCAGGCACTCATACACATAAAAAACAAATAAAAATAAACCAAAGGGAGAAAAATGATATCAAGATTAAATAGTGAGTCCCTAAAGACTGTCTATACTCATCAATGAACATCTGAATATATTCAAAACATTAACATTATCACCAGAGATACAGAGCATTTTGGGAAAAGGATATGAGAGATCTTTGCCATAAAATAAATCCTACCTGCAATAATAACATAAAGTGTTTACTTGCAAAATCATTATTCTGTAGTCCACAGCATCCCAAGCACAAAACAGCCATATTTCTTACTATAGGATGAATGCTTACTATTCCAGGAAGAATCTAAAATGAAGTAGAAATTAATTTTGACCAGGCAAGAAATTTACAATGACATTAAAATCAAAACTATAATTTCCCTATGATTTTGTAGGGCTACTTCATTTTCATACTGCCTATTAACTTAAATAATTCTTTTTATTTTTTTCAGTTAAAAAATGAAAAAGAGGCTGGGTGTGGTGGCACATGCCTTTAATCCCAGCACTCAGGAGGCAGAGGCAGGAGGATCTCTGTGAGTTCAAGGCCAGCCTGGTCTACATAGTGAGTTCCAGGACAGCTGGGGCTACAGGGAGACCCTGTCTCAAAAAAAAAAAAAAAAGAAAAAAGAAAAAGAGGTAAATATAAAATTGATAAAACATAGATGCAATCTCTGTGAGTTTGAGGCCAGCTTGATCTACATAGCAAGTTCCAGGACAGTTGGGGCTACAAAGAGACCATGTCTCAAAAAAAAAAAAAAAAAAAAGATAGAACATAGCCAGAGGAGTTCCTTTATCTAATCCCACATCTGCTAAAACTGATTCAAGGGTTCCCAATGTTCGGAGTAAGATGAAACTCCTTAATATGACAGGTCCTCCTTCCTGATGTTTTGTATTTTATGCACATTCTATTCCCAGCATTTAGTATATATTAAGCACTCAATAAAGATAAGCTCAATGAAAAATTTATATTTTATTTAAAGCACAGTAATTTATAAAAACCTTATAATTTGCAATCTAAATACTGTATTACCATTCTTCTGTTAGTCTCTTTCAGCTGGTTTACCATACTTTTAACCAACTGAGCTAACCACAGATTCTTCCTATATTTTCTGAATTATTAGGGAAGCAACTCTCCTACTAAGCCACACACACTCATCCCCCCTTTCAATAGTCTTAGATTTTTATCCTCTTTTTTTTTTTTTTTTTTTTTTTTTGGCCTTTTTTTGAGACAAGGTCTTCCTATAGCTCTAGTTGACCTGGCACTCACTATGTAAACCAGGCTGGCCTCAAACTCACAGAGATCCGCCTGCCTCTGTCTCCCAAGTGCTGGTATTAAAGGCATATGCCACCACACCTAGCAGATTTTTGTGATATTTTTTTTTCTCTTCTCTTTTTGAGACAGGGTCTCTCTGTAGCCCCAGCTAGCCTGGAACTCAAGACCAGGCTGGCCTTGAACTTACAGAAATCCGCCTGCCTCTGCCTCCCGAGTGCTGGGGTTAAAGGCGTGTGCCACCACACCCAGCAGATTTTTATAGTTTTAAATCATTAAACCATTCAATTTTGTATATTTTCACTCTCTCTCTCTCTCTCTCTCTCTCATGTGTGTGTGTGTGTGTGTTTGTGTGTGTGTGTATGTCCTTCCCAAGGAGTAAGATTTCATATCACAATCACTGGCTATTTCTCATTAATCCCAAATGAAAAAATCTGGAGAGAGAGCTTGGTATATTCAGAATTTGCTTGGGTGAGTAGTATAAAGAGGGGGAGGAGTTCCTAGCTTAGAAAGCTTAGGGAAGGATTACTTGAGCCAGGAATTCAAAGCCAGTTAGGTAACTGTCTTAAGGAAAAAAATAAAACTACTAAGCCAGGCGTGGTGGTACAGGCCTTGAATTCCAGCATTTGGGAGGCAGAGGTAGGCAGATCACTCTGAGATGGAGGCCAGCCTAGTCTACACAGTGATTTTCCAACCCAGCTGAGGCTACAGGGAAACCCTGTCTCAAAAAGACCAAAATATAAAATAAATAATAAAAATAACAAAGTTCTACTACTGTAGACTCTAGCCATTCAGACTATTGAACATTTAAAATACAACTAGCCTAGACTGAGATGTGCTATAAAATATAGCATGAACAACAATGTAAAATATCTCAACAGTTTTAATCAGTAAATAAGTAAATGACCAAATCTTTACATTTGGTAGATGGGATATGCCCTAATACATTAAAATTGCCTTCACCTTTTTGTTTTTAAATCTAGACATACTTGCTGCTAGAGAATTTAAGGTTACATATGGCTACACTCCTATCAGAAAGTGATATTCTAGAGTTTTATATTACTTACATGCTAATGTCAACACAATGGGAATTACCTATGAGTTTAAATGTCCTTTGAATACAATAGTAAGCACCCACACATAGTCATGGCCTCTCTTAGCTACTTGGGAGACTAAGACAAGAAGATTGTTTGAGCCCAGGACTTCAAGGCCAGTCTGGGCAATGTGGCAAGACCCAATTACACCATAAGATAATGAAAAAAGGGAAAGGAAAGAGAAAACATAAAAATTGTAACAAATTCCTTTTTTCTTTAATATTACTTTTTTGTTTTACCAAGTTTCTCTTCTGAACCATTTACCAATACCACCAGTCAGAGGTACATTAATATATCCAGTCACAAAAGACACTGCAAATTAAAATACTGTCAATATTCCAGACGACCAGAAGTATCTGTTTATGAGAGACTTAAATGTTGGAATGACCTATCATAGCAAAAAAGAGCAGTTCATGGAAAACAAATTTATGAAATTCTTGGTATACTTTATGAAAGCTTGAAATTATAAATAAAAAGAAACATGAAGATATCTTTAAAATCTTACATTGTGTTTTCTGAACCACATGCTAGTTAACAATTCATTGTGTTACACAGCACCAAAACCCATGATACATCTTAAAACTACTACATTCAGCAAGAGAAACTGTTTCCTTTATGAAAACTGCCAAAGAAGCAAGTTTTCATTTGAAAACAAAAAAGTCTGTATGAATGCAGCCAAATGCCTCTCACTTAGAAAACGGCCACCAGGAAGGGACAGTGCCCTTTATTAACTGTGTGGCTTCTATCTTACTGGATCGAGGTCTCACTTCAGTTTGTAGAGTGCTTCTTTTTGATCAATTATAAAAGACTGCAGTCATAAAAGACTGCAGACTACAACAGCAAAAATTTTTGACTGTTAAAAAAATAAATTTATTTTTCAAATGAAAATTATTATAAAAGTGGAAATTACAATAGTTAAGGAAATAGAAAAATAAGCCAATTACGATCTGAATCTTCTGACTACGGCTCCAAATTAATAATACAAATATCTATATAAAATTTTCAAAATTTCTGTCAGCCAGATCCTAACACAAAATTTCCCAAGTTTCTCTACTAATTGAATAACCTCAAACATAAGTGGCAAAAATAGGTGCACAACTTAGCACTAATTACAAAATTATACACTATGGTCAACAATATAATTTATTTGAGGATTATTAGTGACTTGCAAACAATTTACTGTTTCTAGACTAAACAAATAAATTATAATGTATGACTTAGTATAGCAGGTTAAAACACCTCTGGGATTTCAGAGCAAAATTTACCTCTAATTTTTTTTTTGTATCCTCTGTATTTTTAACTTTACAAGTTTACGGTGTATCTCTTCTGTTTCTTCACAATTTTTTCTCAATTTTCAAATGCTATAAATTTATATCAGCCAATATAATTATCTAACAATATAAAACTGCTTAGTTCTATGATGCCTTAATTCATTTCCTATATAAAGATGACATGTTAACATCCGCCCAATTCCTATCTTACTAGTAGGATTACCAGAGAGCAGCTGGGCATTCTTATCCTACCAAGATATGTTAAGTATAGAAGCAGGAAGAAGGGAGACAGAATCATCCCCAAACTCCCTCTTAAAATGAGATTTTCTTCCGATACGTAAAATAGTTTATTCAAAATAACATGCAATAGGCATTTCATGAGATAACAATCAGACAGTCATAAGGTTTCAGTGCTCACACTTTAGAGACCATGCAAGCAATCTGAACCCTGATTTCATTTCAAGGAATCTTAAAATACAGTACTAACTTTATATATTTTGTGGCATGTAGTGTTCTAAGTGGTAAAATTTAAGACATTTAATCTAAATGTTCCATTTTCCCTTAAAATAAAGGAAGACATTTTAGTAGGAAAAGAAAAACAAAAAGCAGTGGCAGCTGGAACAAATTCCTTACACAAGGTATACAAAATAACCTTCTCAGTCTTTCTATACAGCAAAAAATCCCCTGAAGTACTGCTAGTATGTTTTAGTATCTACTCTACTAACAAATGAAATATTCGTCCTCTTTCCAGTATAATTTTTTCAAGCTTTTAAAAACATTAAGTTCTGGGACTGGAGAGATGGCTAAATGGTTAAGAACATTGGTTGTTCTTGCAGAGGACCCAGGTTCAATTCCCAGAACCCACATGGCAACTAACCACCATCCATAACTCCAGTTCCAGAGGAATTCAACACCCTCTTCTGACCTCCATGGTCATTACACAACACACGTGCACTTATGAACATGCAGGCAATAAATTCATACACAAAAAATAATAAATACATATATAAAAAGTCCTAGGTCCTTTTTTTCCCTTAAAATTTTATTTATTATTTTTATTTTATGTGTATGCGTGCATTGCCTGCATGTAGGTAAGTGTACCAGTGTCGTGCAATGCCCACAGAGGTCAGAAGAGGCTATTGGATCCCCTGGGACTGGAGTTATGGATGGTTATTAGCTGCCATGTGGGTACTGGGATTCAAACCTGGGTCTTCTGTGAGAACAACCAGTGTTCTTAACCACTGAGCCATCTCTCCAGCCCAAGTTCTAGGTCCCTTACATACATTATCTCATTTAATCCTCACAGTATGAAGTAGTCAGAATAGACATAGTTCAGCATTTGTTTTAATCAGATGTGTAAAGAGGCAATCTTTATGAACCCTAATGAACACATTATATGATAAGAGAGAGGAGTATAAAGCCTCAAAGGCCACCAGTGTACCAAAGATTCAATGATCCCATTCATGGTTGCACCAATACCAGCTGAAATGGACATCTGCTTCAAGAGTTCATAGCACAAGATAAGACACTTCTGTAATGTTTCAGCATCATTCTAAAAAAAGATATAAAACATTCAGCATTAGTAAGAACATCTTCTGCCCATCCCTTACACAATCACTTCCCACAGGACTTTGTCTAAGGCATATTGTCATTCTAGCCTTTATCTCCCTAGGCAATCTTACCCAACCATGCACATCCATTTTTCATTTATGAACTAGCCCAGCTATCTTCAAATTCTCAAGTTCTGACATAAAATTAATATATATATTTCCTCTTTAATGTTCCAAAGGCTCTTCAAATTCAACATGTCCAAAGTAGAACAAAGTTGTTACTCAAAAGTTTCTTCCTCATTTACTCCATCATTTTCATATTACTACCGTCTACCCAACTATGCAAAGCAAAAGACCTAAGCTACATTCTGAACTCCCCCTTCTTCATTTTTATAAACCCTAAATGACTCTCAAATATGTCATTTCTTTTTGTACTCACTGTACCATCATTTCAAGCCATACATCTATAAGTTTGCCAAGGATTATGCCTCTCTAGGCTTTTGTAACTATCCATATTTCCAAACACTAACAATCCTTCAAACACAGAGTAATCCTAGTCCTTAAAATACTAGTGAATCCACCATGGTCTTTGAATTACTCAAAAAGAAAAAAAGAAAAAAGGCAGATGCTTTTGTTTTTTTTAAAGATTCAAATAAAAAATACTGATAAAAAATCATCCCATGAATTCTATAAACTACTGCATAAATGCTATAGTGTAAAAAAAAATTAAACAAGTGTTAACTTTAAACAATTCATTACAAGTAAATGGGTATGTAATATAAATATGACCTAGGTTAAGAAGATTCCATTCATATAACATTCTCAACTAATGGCTGAAAAGAAACGCACATGGGGGCTTTCCATAAGTTAATCTACATGCGTATTCACACTGGAAGAAAGGTCTGCCAACAGGTACCTGAAACTGCAACATCATCATTTATTGATAATATTTAACACTGAAGAGTCAAATGACAACGGCAACAGGATAATGGTGAGCCCACCAACACAGGGCATCAGTTCCTAAGCCCAAGGCCCTACTTTCCATCATCTACTCATAAGTCTTGAGCCCATCACTCCCCTCCTCAGCTCTTCCCATCCAGGAGAGGTCTTGGGAGGCCTCAGCTCACAGGAGGGCTGGGATGGATCAGCGATGCAGCTCCTTCAGGAAAATTCTTTGGTCCTCCCCCTGCACACCTATCCTCAAGATCCCAGACTAATCCTAGAAGAGCAGGCGCTCAGCAAAGCTCCCTGAATGGGAAGCAGCAGGCACTACCTCCTGCTTCTCCCAGCTGTGGCACAGCAGCCCTGTAACTTCCACCACCCCAGCCCAGAATGTCAGCCCTGAAACTCCAGAGCTCTGGTCACACTCCTCAGAAGGAGCTAACCAGAGTAGCTTACAATCTAATGCTTAGTGCTTGTAACTGTAACAAACTGAAAATGTCCAGATAATGTATCAGTCACAAACACTGTCCTGTCACCGAAGAAACCAAAGGCCTGACATGGGAAACAAGTACATAAATATAAATAAAAAAGTCTTAAACCTGTAACAGTAGCACAAAATATTCATGATTTAGGTACTGAGCTAAAAAATCATTATCACTATAATTAAAAACAAAATAGTCACTAAAACAAGGTCAATAGTTATCTTAAGTAGTGGGCTAGCTGCGGAATGTCAAGGATCCACTTCCTTTAAAAGTGATAGAGCTTTTCTATCAGTTTGTCTTATATTAAAAACACTTTTAAATCTACTACATTAAATACATTGTAATTTGGTCACTAAAAATGTTTTACCTAGTCACTTTGCACTTTAAAAATGCTATTAAAAGTCTTTGGCAAAGCCATAGGGGAGAAGAATCTGTCAACCACTTCTAGACCTGGGCACCTGCCCTGCCCAAGTCAGCCCCAGAGGGCAGGGTCTGCCAGGACAAATGTCTCTTCCTAGATTTCCAGGGACAGTTTCAGTGCTGACCAGCAAGGGCTCAAGTACATAGCCCTAGACACATTCTTGACAGAATCTGAGCCATGGGCCCAAGGCCAAGATGTTGGGGGCCCTGCCATTGCTTCAGGAGCTGATGAGGGTGCAGCAGAGCAGGGATAGTCAGGCCAATGAAGCACCATGATTGTCACATGGATGAATTCTGATAACTGCACATAAAAATACCAGCTAAAACTGTCTCCTGGGACACAGTGGATAAGAAAATATGAAAGGCTGTTGGGTAGACAGTGGGTATGAACTCACATCCTGACATGGGTGGCACTGGAAGCAATTTTGACACTAGTAGCACAAGGTATGCTGTGGCCTCTGCACTGCTCACTAGGGAGGGAGTAGAGCCTGGCTATGGTTGCCATGAGCAGGGCTGGCCCTTGCAGTAGGGCACTCGGGAGCACTGGCTGCATATGGTTTGCAAAAGACACAGTATTGGCAGGGCCACATGACAGTGCTGTGGGCCCACTCCCAACAGGCCTCACACTGCTTGGCATGGAGTTGGAAGGTCACCCCATGCACAGCCTCCAGGTCCAGGCACAGCTGGCTCTGCAAGGAATGCAACTTGGGGAGATACCACCCAAGCTCTGCAGCCTGGGCAGTGAGGGCAAGCCCAGGCCCTCAAGTTCTTCCTGCAGCTGCTTGATCTGGGTCTCCACCTCCTCTTTCTTCTGCAGGGCCAGCTGCCAGTCACTGTCTGCCACAGGAGCTCGCCCTGTAGCCTCCTGGGCCTCTCTGCCAGGCATCACAGGCCTGCTTCACTTGCTGCCAAGGCTCTTCCCATTGCCTGATGTTACTCTTGGCCTCATCTAGCTGTCACCTGACCAGTGCCAGGGTCAGGTCCAGGACTGTTTGGACTTGTATCCAAGGAAGCCGAGGCACCACAGTTCAAAATGGGGATAGGCTAGGAGAGAAGCTACCAGAAACAAAGTCCCAGATCCTTCCACGGACACCTTCCAAACCTGTTGGGCCAAGGTCACACCATCCTGCTCGTCTAGGTCTTTATCTAAGGACACAATATTTATGACACTAAGACAAAGATCTAAGGCAGAACACCTGGGGAGGAGGGAGAAAGATGCGTGCCTGCTACAAAGCACTGAGTCATGACGACCCACAACTTGGTGCTGGGCTGACATAAAGCTGAGGTCTGCCAATGCCACTGCTGCCAATCACCGTGTCTTTTGTTTTATCTTTTAAACAGGGTCTCTCTAGCCCCAGAAGGCCTAGAACTCACTATGTAGATCAGGCTGGCCTCGATCTCACAGAAATCACCCGCCGCCATACCCTAACATATTCTTTGATTATGTAAGGTCTTACATGACCTGGTCCTTAATTACTTTTCCCCTCGATTCTCTCATAATTCTTACATAAACCTGGTTTTAAAGCACAAGTCTTTATTTAAACTCTTACCCATCATATATGACATTATAACATCCACAGTAGGCCTTTAATTACTCATTAAGGAGAGATGACACAAAGTACATTAAAAGTACAAATTCAGAGCAACTGTTTAAAGGACCAGTGTGAATTGGGGCAAATAATCTACCCTTATGAAATGCAAATAATAGTATGAAACTTCACAGGGCTACAATAAGAATCCTGAATTCACATTTGTAAAGTGAAGGTGTGATCACCTGACTAGACCACCACAGGAAAAAAAAAAAAAAATTCTCTGTTAGGTTCTATGTCTATTATGGTTAATCTTGACTCCAAGCTGATTGGGCTCAGAAGCATCTAGTAAAACACATCACTGGATATATCTGTGAGGATATTTCCAGAGTTAATTAGGGAAAGAGGAAGATTCACCTTGAAGACAAGTGGCACCATCCTATAGGATACAGGCTTGAGCATAATACAAAGGGAAAAGGAAAAAGCAAACAGCTAGCAAAGACATTCTGCTGCTGTGCCATCTACCCCAATGCACAGAACTTCTGGAACCATGAAATGAAATAAATCCTTCCCATAATTTTTTAAAATACCTATCTATCTATCTGTCTATCTATCTATGTATCTATCTATCTATCTATCTATCAATCATCTATCTATCATCTATCTGTCTATCTAACGTGTATTTTCCTTGAATGTATGCAAGTACACCCAATGCCTGCAGAGGCGAGAAGAGGACATCAGATCTCTTGGAACTGGAGTTAAGGACAGTCTTTAGTCACCATTTGTGGGTGCTGGGAACAAACCCAGATCCTCTCAAGAGTAGTCATTGCTCAGCATCTCTCTTACCCATAAAATTAATTTCTTAAATATTATCTCAACAGCAATGAAAAGTCTATTACATACATTAGTTTTATTCAAATCTTAAGTTTAAACATTTCTTCCTCTGGGGAAACCAGTAACATTCTACACAGATTACATAACTCACAATAAAACTTCTATGGTTTCCCGATCATGCCATCTACTTACTATACAGTGTTACAATTATAATATAATATGACTTTACTAATGTATTTTTTCTGAGGGGCTCACAGAGTAGGGATGGTTCTAGGGATCAAACTCAGGGCCTTGCATGACAGGCAAGCACTTTATTCCTGAATTATATCTCCATCCTTTGGATTTTAGAGGCAGGGCCTTACTTATATAGCCCAATCTGGCCTTAAACAATATCCTCTCTTTGACTCCAAGTGCTAAGATTATAGGCATACACCACCACATTTGAAAGTTTTAGATCATATTAATTTTTGTTTAAATTTGTTTCTCAAATTTAAAAGCCTATAATAATTAACAGTTTACAAATAAAATAAGCTACTAGCTATGAAAGTAAATGAAGTCATTCTCGCTGGGAAAGGGAGGTGTTTGGGTTAAGATACAGTTATGACTAGAGAGGTTAAAAGATATAAAATAAATTCCAAAGCTCTCATATACAGTAAACTTTCCTATTTCACATTATCTTTCTAAGAATGTTCTAGGGGCTGGAGAGATGGCTCAGTGGTTAAGAGAACTGACTGCTCTTGCGGAAGACCCAGGTTCAAATCCCAGCATCCACATGGTGGCTAACAACCATTCATAACTCCAGTTCCAGGGGATCCAACACCCTCTTCTGACTTCCATGGGCATTGCATGACAAGGTTGCACTTAAACACATGCAGGCAATACACTCATACACAAAAAATAAAATTAATAAAATATTTTTAAAAAAACAACAACAACAAAAGAAAAAGAATGTTGTAGTAAGGGGCTGGAGAGATAACTCAGGCGTTAAGAGCCCTGGCTGCTCTTTAAGAGGATCTGGGTTCGATTCCCAGAACCCATATAGCAGCTAATAACTCTACATAAACTCCAGTTCCAGGAGATCTGACACCCTCTTCTGACTTCCATGGGGATTGCACAACACAGGTGCACTTACATACATGTAGGCAATACAGTCATAAAATAAAAAAATAAAATATTAAAAAAGAATGTTCTAATAAGCAATCCCCAAACCAAAAGTACAATTATAAATATGTTCACTACAAAGGCAAGAACCTTAAAAGTCAAAATTAAAAGTTAATATTAAACGTAAGACTACCATTCTACCTTATATTAAAATAAATTCATGAACAAAGACATAGTAAGTTCAAGAGATTCATATGTCAGGGCTAGATAGAAGGCTCAGCAGTTAAGAGCCATGGTTGCTCTTACAGAGGACCAAGGTTCAGTTCCCAGCACCCACATGGTGGCTAACAATCGTATGTAACTCCGGTTCCCGGGGATCCGACACCCTCTTCTGACTTCTGTGGGCACTGCAAGACAGGGTTATACTTACAGGCAGGAAATATACTCACACACATAAAATTTTTTTAAATAGTATATCTTTAAAAAGAGGATCATTTGTTAACTAAGTTAAAAGAAGACTGAAGGGGGCTGGAGAGATGGCATAGCAGTTAAGAGCATTGACTGCTGCAGTAGAAGACTTAGTTTGGTTCCCAGCATCCACATGGTAGCTAACAACTGTCCATTACTTCAGGTCCAGGGGATCCAACTCCCTCTTCTTACCTGGGCATTGTACCCAGAAATACTTGAACACATAAAATAAAAATAAATAAAAAACGTTTTAAAAAGAAGACTGAAAAGCTTTAAATATTGCTAGATATCAAATGTTCCATGAAAAAAAAAAAAAAAAAAAAACCCAACAAAGATGCTTGATTTCTTTTTTTGGTATTTTTGAGACAAAATCTCC